CGTCTCTCCTCTCAGGTTGCACAACAGCAGGTGAATGTGATCTCAAGGGATCCCTGTGTTTTCTCCTTCTCCTTTTTTTCTCAAACCCTTCCCCCACGTGAAAGGGTTTCCATAGCGCGGCCCGGGGCGAGACTTTAAACCTGTTTCACAAGACCTGCGCACTCGTATTCACATTACTGCAGACGCGATGACGTGTGTGATTGTACATTCGTTTGCGTTGTAGATCAGGATTGTTGGATAGTGTCGTTCACGGAACAGGGAAGAGTTGTACTTGATAAGGTTTTGGTGACTGTTTTTTTTCCATTTGAACACCACCAACACACAAACCCATAGATACAGCTAATAGGTGGTTTGCAATTCAAAAGCGTGTATTTAAAACCGAAGACTCTTATTATAGCATTCCAGAGATACTTGACATCGGAATGTTGACATGCATTGAGAACTGGTTTATTATATAACGTGAACACTTAACTCATTAACACAGGCTGTTGTTCACAGACAAAAGCAGATGTTTGAGCTGTGATGGAGTGAATGGTGGACAGCTGAAGGGTTTGATTGTGTGTGAGTGAGTGGATGAGATTCTCACTGAACGTGTTGTTCAGGTCGCGTCAGACTGAAGTATGCTGTAGTGTTTACACTGCATCTGCTAGAAATAGATTCAAAGGTCAAACACGTCAGCTGGAAATCTCTACGTAAGACTGAGACCATCCATCCATCCATCCATCTATCCATCCATCCGTCCATCGTTCCTTCTATCTATCTATCTATCTATCTATCTATCTATCTATCTGTCTCATCCGTCCATCCATCATTCTATCTATCTATCATTCTATTGGTTGGTCTATTGTTCTATCATTTCATCCATCCATTTGTCATTCTATCTGTTGTTCGATCTATCGCTCCATCCATCCATTGATCTGTTGTTTTGTCTATCTATCCATTGTTCTATCTGTCTGTTGTTCTATCTGTCGTACTACCATTTGTATAAATATTAATCAATTTACAAGTTTTACAATTTTCATTCATTCATCCGTCCATTCATCCATCCATCAAAAAATGTTAAAAACAGAAGATTTTACATTGTTCGTTGTTTAGACTGTTGGACCTGAAGTGGGTTGGCAATATGGCAAAACAGACGCAGTTATCAGGTTATGCTGATCTCACAATGTCATTAAAAAAATCATCATCTTCAGTATGTCTTTACATTATTACCTGTAACGTAACATCAAGATCCTTTTAATCTCCATTTAGCAACTCTAAATGGCTACAAATGGTTATGGAAGAGGGTTTTGTTGAATCTGAGAACTATTGAAACCCTCTTGACTGAAACCATGTTAACGTAAGCTGTGGCTCCTTAAGAAAACTGGAATGAAAATCTCTGATCGGGTTGAGAGCTTCTTCAGTGGTTCTCTCAGACCTCAGCTTTTCATTGCTAAAAATGTCACCTCCTGTGGCATTACATCACATACGCAAAGCGAGGCGTGGATAAACATGGGTGTGTGTTTTGCATGCTGTGTTTCTTTCTCTTTCCGGGTGTGTGCTCTGTTACGCTCCTCACACAGCATCCTGCTGGAGTGTGTGTTATTTCAGTGCTGCGGGCCACGTTTAATAAAAGTGATGCTAGTTTGAATTCTGCTTTGCTGTTCGATTAGTGTAACTTTATCACAGGATTTAAGGATATTTAGCTCAAGGTATTCCCAAAACATGCCACTTCCTTCTGGTTTTCATGTAATATTAAACCAAGGAAAGGCGTTGGGTTTTTGTTGTTGGTAAATGTGTTAAGCAATACCTCATTTAATGAAAAGCAGGATATATTTAAATATTTACAGAGGGATTCTTCCCCGCTGAACTTTTCCAAATTAATCTCTTATCAAACAATGACTTTAGCTGGCCGGTATCGGTGTAGATGCTTCAGAGATGCTTGAGTGCTCAGCCGGATCACGAACACCTCAGGTTTCCATAAGACCAGAGGAGGATCATTCTGTCATTGTGGCGGGATTTGCATCTGAGAAACTCATCCATCATTAAAGTCAACATGAAATCAAAATTGACCTTCTGGCTGTTTACTATAGACTGTTTACTTTCTTAAACCATGCTTCTGGTCTTATTGTGAATTATTCAGCAGTGCATGTTATTCCAATGAAACCTATGTTTGACTTAATAATTTTTTATCAAAATGTAGTGACTTTTGCTGCCCCAAAACCCCCCCCCCCCCCCCCCCCT